CAATCAATATATGACTGCAAAAGTTGGTAGAAATCTTCTATTTCCTTCTTTTCTGGTTCTAACTTTCGGTGCACAAATTTAAATGATTGTGGTATTTAATAGACTTCCTTGTATGTGTAGGGATATTACACATTGTATTTCAAGATGGATCTAGAAATGCCTTTAACTATGAAAGTAAACCCATTTTCCCTTACCTTTTTATCTCTAGCATAGTAGATCATATGATCATCTGATTAAAAATATCCCATGCCAATCCATCTCATTTAGACAATACCTCATATGTCAATATTTATACTTTCCATTTCTTAACAATGTCCAAGTTCCCTACATTCATGCTTCTCACATTCCATGTTCCAGTCATGAGTGTCTGCTTCCAACTGTTCCTCCTCCTTTGTGTTTCCATATTTGAGATCTCAGCCTCAGTGGCCATATTTGCTAGTCACATCAACAGAGAACTACCACATGTGAAAGCTAAGTTTAGAAGAAGCCATGATACTAGGGATATTATTGCTAATGTTAGATGGATCTAGACAGAAAGCAGAGAGTACTAGAAGAATGTGTATCTGTGTTTCATTAACTATGCAAAGGCGTTTGACTGTGTGGGTAATAATAAATTGTGGCTAACACTGAGAAAAATGGGAATCCCAGAACACAAACCTATACTTGGATGAGGAGGCAGTCATCAGAACAGAGCAAGAAAACACTGCATGGTTCAAAATCAGGAATGGTATATACCAGGGATGTGTCCTATCTCCTTACATTTTCAATCTTTATGCGGAACAGAACATCTGGGAGACTGGGCTCTATGAGGAGAAATGTGGCATAAGGATTGGAGGAAGACATATTAACAACCAGAATTAAGCAGATGACACAACTCTGCTTGTGGAAACTGAGGAGCACCTGAAGTACTGCTGCAGAAGGTCAAGGATTGCAGCCTACAACATGGATTGAAGCTCAACATCAATCAAACAAAGATTCTCATTACTGGGTCAATTGGCAGCATAATTATGGACTGTGAAGAGACTAAGATTGTTGACAGCTTCAATTTGCTTGGATCCACAATCAACACTCTTGGTTCCAGCAGCCAGGAAATCAAAAGACAAATTCCACTGGAAAAGTTTGCTGTCAGGGACTTCTCCAGAGTACTGCAGAGCCACGATGTCAGTCTGGAGACTAATATGTGCCTGATCCAGGCCATAGACTTCACAATTACTTTCTATGCATTAGAAAGCTACAAAATAACTAGGGATGATAGGAAAATTGATGCCTTTGAGCTATGGTGCTGCAGAGGAGTATTGAACACACCATAGATGCTAAGAGAACAAACAGGTTCATTCAAGAGAGGGTGAAACCAGGCTCTTCCTTGGAGGCAAGGATTCTGTAGCTTTGACTGACATACTTTGTACATGTTGCAAGGAATGACCAGTCCTTGGAGAGACACATCATGTTGGGAGGGTGGAGGGATAGTGCAAGAGAGGAAGATCATTAATGAAATACTTTGACTCAGTGACTTGGTAAAGGGGGTAGGCGTGTCAGAGAAGTTGATGTTGGATCTGGATAGAGCATGATTCAGAGCTGTTGTATATAGGGTGGCTATGAGCTGCAAGCAACTCAAGGGCACAGAACCAGACCAGGATGCAGTCCTTAGAACAGGAAAAGGAAACGCTTCATAGTTCCAAATCAAGAAAGGAGTGTATAAGGGATGCATCTTGTCTCTGTATCTTTTCAATAGATATGCAGAACAGATGATTTGGGAAGCTGGTCTTTATAAGTGGAAAACTTTAAGGGTTGCAATCAGAAAGGTGTACTCCAGGGATGTATCCTTTCTCTATACCTATTCAATGTGTGTGCTGATCAAATAATTTATGAAGCTTGACTCTATGAAGAGAAATGTGACATCAGGATCACAGAAATACTCATCAACAATTTGCATTATTTAGAGGACTAACCCTGCTTGCTGGAAGTAAGGAAAGAAGATTTTAATATGCTGCAGAAGATCAAGAATTATAAACTCAATATGGATTACATCTCAACATCAATAAAATGAGCTTCCTACCACTGGGCCAATAGCCAACATTAGAATAGATGGAGAAACGATTGAAATTGGTAATGATTTCATCTCATATAGATCAACAGTTAACATCCTTGATACTACCAGTCAGGAAATAAGGAAACATATTTCTCTGGGAAAGTCTGCTATCAGGGATCGATTCAGAATTCTGAAGAGCATTTATGTCACTCTGAAAAATAAAGTGGCCTGATCAGGTCATGGTATTTTCAACTACTTGCTATGCATCTGTGGGCTGGACAATGAATAAGAATGGTAGAAGAAGAATTGATGCCCTTGAGTTGTGGTATTGGAGAAGAGTACTACATACCCCCTGCACTGCTAAAACAACAAATAGCTATGTCTTGGGGAAAGTGCATTCTTCTAAGTGGTACAACACTGGTCTGTCAATTTTCTTTACTAAAGCAACTTGGAGTTGCTGTAATGCTGAATACTGTGCCAATGATGTGTCAAATGCTATAATAGTTACACATTGTAGACAGTTTTTGGTGGAGCTCCCAGACTGAGAGGCTTGGAAACAGGAGTGACATCCACTTCCTAAACAACATGATTCTGGAAACCCTATGAACAGGGAGAAATGACAAAAGTTAAAGGAAAGATTTCAGGTCTTTTATTCATAGGGTCACTATTAGTCATGCTCAACTCCACGGCATTTAACAACAATAACTCCTTGTGTTCTAGTGTAATTTTCAGTTTCTCTTTGACATACATTTTAGTGTTTTCTTCTATCTTTTTAATGACCTTTTACTTTCTTCGTGGATGTTATTCACAATGTAGTTCCGCAACTCCTCTGGTCTTTAATCATTAGTATTAAATGCATCAAATCTGTTCTTGAGATGGTTTCTAAACTCAGAAGGGATAGACTCAAGGTCATATTTAACTTTTCAGACTTGTTTTATTGTTCTTCAACTTCAATTTGAACTTACCTTTGGTTTGTCTGCTGCTCTTGAGCTTCTTTATGGGCTTTTTCCACTATGTAAGCAATCTGATTCTGGTGTAGTTCGTCAGGCAAACTCTTTGTGCATAGCTATATTTTGTATTTTTTTGACAAAGACATTCACAGTGAATAAATAATTGATTGTACAAAATTCTATCAATCTCCAACTTTATTTCTGTCATCATGTTTCAACTTTCCAAATACTAGTTCTTCATTTTCAACTTTTTGTTCTTGTTGCTTTTAATTGCAATTTTAATGAAAATTACAGAAAAGTTGGATTTTTCATTCATTCATTATTTCACATTTTTTCCTTCCCCTCCACTTGAATTTCTTCTAGTCTTTAAATATTCATTCATTATTGTACAATTTCCTCCCTGTTCCCAACTTTTCCATTACACTCACATATCAGTTATGAATCTTGATTGCATATTCAAACTACTTAACACTGTAAGAGTTAGTGTTGTTGTTGTTGTTGTTATGCGCCGTCGAGTCGCCTGCGACTCATAGCGACCCTATGTACAACAGCCCTAAACTCTGCTCTGTCCTGTGCAAATCGCACTGTCTCTGACACTCCCATCCCAATTATCCCAGTCACTGAATCAATCCACCTCATAGAGGCCTTCCTCTCCTGCTCCGTCCCTCCACCCTCCCAAGCATGATGTCCCTCTCCAAGGACTGGTCTCTCCTCACTACATGTCCGAAGTAAGTTAGACGGAGCCTCAGAATCCTTGCCTCCAAGGAGCCACCTGGTTTAACCCTCTCCAGGAAAAATCTATTTGTTTTCCTAGCAGTCCATGGTATATTCTCAGTACTCTTCTCCAGCACCACAGCTCAAAGGCATCAGTTCTCCTTCTATCCTCCTTGGTCATTGTCCAACTCTCTGATGCATAACAGGTGATTGCGAAGACTATGGCCTGTATCAGACGAACCTTAGTCTCCAGAGAGACACCACTGCTCTTCGGCACTTTGGAGAGGTCCCTAACAGCAGACTTTCCCATGGCAATGAGCCTTTTAATTTCCTGGCTGCTGGTGCCAAGACTGTTGACTATGGAGCCAAGCAAACTAAAGCTGTGTACAATCTCAATCTCTTCACCATCCATCCTGATGAGTTAGTAGAAGTCCTCAATTTTGTCATTTTGGGCTTTAATGTTTAATCTGTATATTTGAATAGTTGTTGTAATTAATAGGTCTTTCTGATATATGTGTGTGAGTTCCTTTGTTGTTGTTTTTATTTGCCATCAATCCTATGTACAACAGTTCTAAACCCTGCTCTATCCTGAGCCAACCTTATCTCTGACACACCTAACCCCATTACTCCAGTCACTGAGTCAATTCATCTCCTCCAGAATCTTCCCCTCCTGTGCTGTCCCTCTACCCTCCCAAGCATAACATCTAATATTCTCTTGCAACATACTGCCTCTAAACATCTGTTCCAAAATCAGTTATGAACTGTTTCAAGCTTGTAACATGTAACAATAATAATACACATTTAACTTATGTATCACTGTAATTGCAAGATAAAGTTGCCTCATTCCTTTTCATATTAACATTTGAAAAGATACCAGTTCTTCTTAATATTTAAGTTTAGTATTCTCATAACTCTAGTTTATTTCAATACTTGACTTTGTGTTTCTAAACTTGTTACTCAAGCCAACTCAAGAAATCAGACTTTGTTTTGAGGTCCAAATGCAGTTTCATATTTTATTTGCATGAAATTTCTAGTAAGTGTGGATAAAATTTTTGAGTGAGTTTAATTTATGATGCAAAATAAGTTTATAAAATTTTTGCTTAAGGTAATAATGCCTCAGGCAAGACAAGAGAAGAAAACCCACAAAAAACCTCCATTGCAGCCTTGAAAAACTACGTATGAGAGTTAAATTTACACTATTAGTCACCTTGGATTCCTGAAATCATGTAATACATGCCTGTTCTTCAATTCTGGATCCATAGTTTTGTTTAAGGTCCCAAAGATTTCATTTTCTTAGTGAGGATATTTTAGTCACTGACTAAGACCATACATCTCCACAGCAGCTTCTTGAGTGCTGCTACCACCTCCTTGTTCCTCAGGCTGTAGATGAGAGGATTCAACATTGGGGTGAGAATGTTGCTGAAAACAGAAAGAGCTTGGTCCTGCTCTGCACTATGAGTTGAAGTGAAAGACATGTAGATGAATATATTTGGACCAAAGAAGAGACTCACCACAGTTAAGTGGGAAGAACATGTGGCCAAGACTTTTTTCCTGCCCTTGACAGAGTTCATACGGAGGACAGTGAGGAAAATGAGAGTGTAGGAAGCTGTGATGAGACTGAAAGGTACAACAAGCAGCACAATGCTTGTCACAACCACCACTAATTGATACACTGAAGTGTCTTCACAGGAGAGTTTAATGAGGACTGGGACCTCACAGAAGAAGTGGTGGATCTCTCTTGACCCACAAATGGGGAAATGCATAGGGTACACTGTGTGTATAAATGAGCTTATGGAACCTCCAATCCAGCAGGCAGCAACCATGTGCAGACAGAACCTGGGGCTCATGATGGTGGGATAGCGCAGTGGGTAACAGACAGCTACATAGCGATCATAAGCCATGAGGGTCAAGATGAGGCACTCTGACATTCCTAACATCAGAAAAAAGAAACTTTGAGTCCCACAGCCAATCCATGATATGGTCCTTTCCTCCATGAAAAAGTTGTAGGCCATTTTGGGGACAATGGTAGAAGTCAATGTCAAATCAATAAGGGAGAGCTGACTGAGGAGAATGTACATGGGGGTATGTAGCCTGGAGTCGCCTGAAATCAAGACAATCAGAAGTGTGTTCCCCAGGAAGGCAAGAATGTAGATGAAGATGATTATGGAGTTGAGAATAATGGCATGCTGAAACTCAGGAAAGAGTCCCATAAGAATGAAATCAGTTATTGAGGATTTATTATCACCCACCATATCTACACAAGGAATATATTAAGGTCGAGGAACAAATCAACTTGATTACAACAGTTGATATGCAGTACAGTTCTTAATTCAATCTGAGAATAAAAAGAATTCTAGATTTGCTTCAATTCTTAACTCTCAAATAGTACTATCATTTTATCACAGTCATTTCATCATACACTGTTGAAAGTTACTGACAAGTTTATAAGCTATAAAATATTAAAAAGTTTGATAAACATTATTGCTTCTTAAGTTTATACTAAGTTTCCCTCTTCTTTCTTTCTTTGTTTACCTTCATATTCTTTCTCTTTGTAATTATAGGAGAATCTTCTGAAAACTGTATTCTCAGTGTTCAGTAACATTCACTTAAAATATATGATAGCCATCAATTCCGACTATTAACTCTTGGTATGCTTCAGCTAAAAGCGTATAAAAACCCCCAAATTTATTTACTATATTTAATTTTTAAATGGTAAATAAATTAACAGAACACTATTAGTTTATTTTCCCCTTTTTGGCTACTTGTTGTGAGATCTTAAACATTATAACAGAAAATAGAAAATTTTCATAATTTTCCTATTTAGTAGCTATCAATATTTATTATTACTCATCAAATGAAGTTTATATTTCTTAGGCAAAAGTTCTTATCATTCATGAGTTGAATCTAAGTTACCTTATGAAATTTGTGCTCTGTTATTTTCACACTCATAGTGCTAACTTTAGTCAAGTGGATATCCTCGTGGTTTCCCCACATAACTTGCACTTTCAGTTGTGCTTTGTTTCTCTTCAAGATGATGCCTCTCATCCCACTGTTGGAATTGCATTCACTCTTAAAGGATTATTCAAATATGACTTCTCCAAAAGATTTCCTGAAATTTAAAAGAGGTAAATATCACGTACTTTCTCCTCAACTTCACCATATTTGCAATCATTTATCAACATAGCCGAGACACAGTGCAGCTTGGAGGATAGGAGTATGTCCTGGGACTAGAGTGTCTGGATTCAAAGACCTGCAACACTACTTACTACCTACAGTTCATGTTTCTGTATCTGGTGGCCTAGTGGTAAGACGGTGCTCTGCAATTTTGAAGGCATCAACTCTGTGGGAGTAGGATGGGCAATCTCCTCCCATACAGTAGTTATGAAAACTAAAATTACTACAAATAAATAATCTGGTAAGAGTAAAAGCATTTTCCAAAAAAAATTGTATTGAAAAATGAAGTCCCCAGTTTAATCTGATTAAAACAACTGCTACACATGTGAAGTTTCTTTAGGTACTAGGAATTCTTAGAAAAATTATATTGATGCAACAATTATGACAAAGCACATGGAAATTATGATTTCTAATATAAAAGCAAAGAATTTAATAATGTAAATCAGTATCATTATTTTTAAGTGATTTTTTTCTCTATATTAGTGCGTTTTCAAATTATGGGGAAAATAAATTGGAAAGAACTATTGCTTACATAATAAATCTGGTATTATATATAGTACAAAGCTAATTATTAAGCTAATCCTGTAATTCATGAGCATCAAATACCAATCTCCTTAAAATTACACTCACATTATTGTAGAAAAGAGATATTTAAAGCAGTTCTTGGAAACATTCACAATCTATTCAGTTTTCATTCTTTATCTGCTGAATGCTTTCAACATTTCACACATATATTAGTAAATATTGAAGTTGAGCAATAGTGAATTTAGCCATGATATATATCCTTACTGATCTCTCTGAATTTGTGTCTGGAATGTTACCTAGGAGTGAAATACCAAAGGGAAGGCTCATTTAGAAGGCTTTAGAAGCAGGAGTGGCATCCACTTCCTAAACAACATGCCTCTGAAAACTCTGTGAACTTTGATAAACAACGATAGTTATAGAAAGGCTTCAGGCCTTTTTTTTTTTTGATAGGGTCTCTATGAGTCATGTTTGACTCAAAGGCAGTCAACAACAACATAGAGGAGTTAACTAATGTCTCTGTAAAGGTGTCTGGAGAAGTAGGTAAGATTTCACATGAGCTGTATCTAACTTATGGCACAGCAAGTAATGGTCATGTGAAGAATTGAAGCAACGAGGGTTTGTCATGGTAAAGAACAGAGGTCAGCAGGTGGTAACAATCACAGTTAAGTAAGAGAAACAAACTGGCACTCTTACTCAGATTTTTATTCAGCCCATTGAGCCAGATAACTGAAAGTTTGCAATCTTCTCTTGCCTGCACAACCTCATACAAATTTTATATATTTACCAGGAGGGACGGGTCCTTGGAGAGGGACATCATGCTTGGGAGGGTTGAGGGACAGCGCAGGAGGGGAAGACCCTCTATGAGATGGATTGATTCGGTGACTGGGGTAATCGGGATGGGTTTGTCAGAGGTGGTGCGGTTGGCGCAGGATAGAGCAGGGTTTAGGGCTGTTGTGCATAGGGTCGCTATGAGTCGGAAACGACTCGACGGCACATAACAACAACAACAAATTTTCCTTAGCCTTCCATTTTGTTCTCTAAGTGGAAGAGCATGTGTATATCTGCTGTAATATTTACATTTCATTTTTCATGTTGAATTAACCTGTATCCTAAAAAGGTATACTTCTAGAAATAGGATAATCAGAGACTTTCACCCTTCATCAAATTGAACAATGAAGCATGACACATTTCCTGCTCTAGTAATGAGCATGAATATTATTACAACTGCCTTGCTCTACAATCACTAGATGTGCTCTCCAGTTTTATATTGTAAAAGCCACTGATTTATGTTAATGAAATGGAATGAGTTTACACTTTCAGATTTCAAGTGTCAAATAGAAACACAAAATATCAAATAAAGGAGTTAACTTTTAATAATGCTGAAAGCAAACATTAAATTACACAGCAAACATATCAATGAGCTTCATTTGTTATTTTCATTTGTAATTATTATTTTATAACTACTGGGATATCTGCTGAATATTTTATAAATAGTCATACCATGGACTGCTAAGAGAACAAACAGATCTTACCTGGAAAAGATGAAACCAAGTTGCTCCTTGGAGGGAAGGATTGTGAAACTCCATCTCATATATTTTGAGTATGTTTCCAGGAAGAACCAGTCCTTGGAGAAGAACAGTAGAAAGGTAGATCAGTGAAGGAGGGAAAGACCCAGAATCAGATGGATTGGCACAGTAACTGCTGCAATGAACTCAGGTGTGTCAAAAAGGTGAAGTTAGCTCTGGATAGGGCAAGGTTCAAAGTTATTATTCATAGGGCTACTATGAATTGTAATCAACGTGATGGCATATAACAATAGCAACAAAAAGTAATAAACAGGGCAAAATCATAGGGTTGCCCAATTTGGTAGAGGGATTTAGGATGTAAAGAAAATGGGAAAGATCCAGCAGGGACCTGAAAAAAACAAAACAAAAAACAACAGGATAATGATGGGCATTGTGCAATGGTGATTAATTTTATAAAACATGAGGTATGGGAATGACTGTATGAAATGCAATGTCAATGAAGAAGAGTATGAAACACAATGTATATGAACATTGTAAGCAAACTAATATAAAATGATTTTTTTTAAAAAGTAATAACCATTTTCCTAAAACAAACCATATGTCATGATTTTAGGAAATATAAACAATTAATTATAACAGACTAAGAAAACATCCTTTGAATTTGAAACTCAATTGCCACACTTCATATATTTCAGAATTGTATATTATTAATTAAATCATTGTTAATTAAATTGTTCTTGTAACAATAAAACACATATTAGTATTTAATTCAACTAAATGGGAAAAAAAATTATTCAGTCGACTCTAACCTGTTTGTAAGTATTTTTTAGTATGAAGAAATTCCAGCCATTAATTAGAGAACTTTATTGCCTTTTGAAGTTTCCCAATTTTGATATTTAAGTAATTTTAGAAACATATGTATCATTAATATTATCTTAATCTGACCTTGTTACAATGTGGACACATGCAAGGCAGTGTTGAAATAAAATCATAATTCAATCACCAGATTTTCTAAATGCAGGTGAGTTCAAGGAATTATTCTACCTGATAACTGAATTAGCTGTACACTTGATTGTTTCACATTTACTCACAAAATATAATTATTCTCTTTCTGTGACACTCACTTAATTCATGAATTGGTATCTGCCCCATATAGTGCTGGTTTTGATCTGACAATAACACTGTTGATGTTGTTGTTCACATTATATGATGCTTTCAAATAGTCAAACAGAAATATTACAAATCCAGTTTTCTACTGGACCTAATTCTAGACAGGCTATCAAATACTCTTCTTAGTGCATTATTATTTCTGGTAGCAGGCGCAGTCATCAAAACCTTAGCATTAAACACACATTCTCTTAAAAATGTATTATAATACATATTTAGAATGTGTTTTTCTCTATTTTGGTATCTCTTTTAAATTCTATTTATCTCCACACCTCTCTCTCCTGAAAGTTCTGGCATCTTCCAGATTTTCCATTGCAGATATAGCTTTTCATATTGCAGTATTATGCCATTTTTCCATCAAAAAGTATGCTGTTGGCTTGAGACTGGCAGAAAATTATATATTTCAGGAATAATGCAAGAGATTTTTATTCCATCGTAGCATGGAACTTAAATATTGGCTAAGTCCTAACTTGGAAGCTGTTTAGTAATTTCTCATCAGGACCTGGAGACTTTTCAGGTGGATGGCCTAAGGGAACAGAGTCCCCAGACTTTAATTAACTTATATCTCAGACCACAGTGGTGAACTTTAGAAATGAAAGAAAATTTGGAAGCTATACAGATCCACAAACATATTTTCTACACTCTGTGAATATTCAAAAGTTTCTAAACTCCACAGTGCCTCTATAGTGCCCATCCTAAGAAAGTACAGGACAAAAGGCAAAAATGCATCAGAGACATAGTGTACGGAGAACTTCTGGGAAAGAACAATGGACAATTTACATAATCTTTGTGTTTATCACTACTGTATTTTTCTCACCCCTATTACAAAACAAAACAGTCTCTCTCTCTCTCTCTCTCTC